CGAGGACAGTGAGGGAAATCATTGTATTTTGGTTTGAGTTGTAGTGGGAGATTGAAAAAGATTGGGAATTGAGCAAGAGAAAGTAATTATTCAACTTTCCAAAGAAGAAGTGGAAAGAAGAATTGCCCAACGCTTGGAGAAATTTTTAAATGAGTTGAAAACTAGGAAATGAGATAAAGAAATAATGGAAATCAATAATCTAGTCAGCAGGTTGTTTGGTAATTCAGTAAAAGGAAACAGTTGAAGAAAGTATTATCGAGACGATAATTATTTTGCTTATAAAGAGAAAGACAATTATATATTGATAGTTAGTGTTTCCAAATATAAAAAGGCGAAACTCGCAGTATATATGCAAGAGAATGAACCAACCAAAAAATTAAAAATTACTTCTGAACGAAAATGACCCAAAACTAGGCGTTATTTTAGGATTGAAAGGAAAGAGGATTGGAAAGAGTTATTCCCGAAGGTAAAGAGTTATTTGGAGTTAATACAAAAGGAAAAAGTCTAAATAATCTCGTTGCCGAGTGAAATAGAAGTAAGTGCTAATTATGGTCTTACTATGTTATAACAACCCATACAAAGCGTATAAAAGGGTGTTGGTTTAGCACCGAAATTCCATTGGTCCGACAATGATGCTGATATTGAGATTTTGACAAACTCTTCAACAGATTTGCCACATCCATCGCAAACAATTGTCACACCATCGCTCTTATCAAAAAAACCACTAGTTTGCCAATCCGCTGACATTATTTCATTTTCCACTCTACTATCCATAACATTTTGTATTTAAAGCAGTTGAGTAATGCTAAATAGGAAATAAAAAACTGCAAAATACTATATTATTACCTTAAATATTATGGTAAATGCCCAACAATGACTAGATGAGAATTATCCTAAAGCAAAAAGGAGTCAAGTTCAAGAAATCTTTATCACTCAGCCATTAGAAGGCGAATTAGATTTAAAAGATTTTACTTGTCTTACTCATTATATTGGTGGTTCTAAAAAAGGTGTAGAAGTCTACATCTCTCCTCGAGTAGATAATACTAAACTAACCTTTAACAACTTATCAGAGCATGCTGAGATTATTGAGAATAGTTGATTTGAAATACATAAAGACTTTAAATATTATCAAAACCATTGAACCAACCACAACTTTACTTATGAACAAACTAAACAATGGGCTGATGTTTTAGAAAACTTTAATCCTAAATAC